ACAACAAACCCGCCCAATCAAATCCATTATCATCACGACTACCCATTGTTCCCCAGCAAGACTTTTGGCACCTTCGTATTCTATCAAGTTATTTCATCTTTTTTATGTTTTCAGATTAATCCTGATTATAAATCAAACTTTTCTATGTTGTCGTCAATTTAAATATGGCTCCGGGCTTAAAACGCAACATTAATCTTTAATCTTCAACATATACATAGAATAGACATAATACGAACGTGACAATATCTTATTTTTAAAATATTATCTTGATTGTCACCATCGGTGCAGGTAATTTAAAAAGAAAGATTTTTTCAATTTTCACAGACATGGAACATGTGTGTAGAAAGCCATCTTCACATCAGTTACACTCGCGATAAACCCCCTAAATTACCATGGGATCTGATAAAACGCACGTCTATAGTACGGTCAATTGAACATCATCTCAGAGAGTGTTTGTACCAATAAAATCAAGAATTTAAGGATTTTGAAAGAATAGCTGTGGGTTTTTTTCAATGGCAGATCTTGCGATGAATTGTGAAAATCAAGGAGTTTGTCCCACTATATAAGTTTAGGGATTTCTAAAATTGATATAATCTTACCTTGTTAGCCCTATAAGTTGTTTGAAGTTACGCGAACAATTCTACGAAATTTTGCAAGCAAATTATACACAATTGTACGGAGTTAACTTATACGAATTTTTGTAAAAAAAATGTTCAGAGTTTTGCAGATAAATGTACAAAGGTTTTTAAACAATTAACGGAGTTTTTAAAAACAATTTCACAGATAGAGTGTTTTGTAAATAAATGTACGGAGTTTTTAAACAGTTTCACAGAGTTTGGTGAAATCAGATATATCATCCATTACCTTTGATCGCCTTCTTAACGCTGTAACTCTAATATAAACTATACCCCGATTTCACTGTTAGCCTTTATGTCCTGACATTTTGTTGTTCGGAGACATGCTGACGCATAGGATGAACAAAAATGTTAAAAAAGGAACACTCGCCCATTACCAAGATGGCCGGGGTTCGATTCCCCGATCAGACGTGAAAAGGTATTTGGTTACCTGTCCGAACATGTGGGTTTTCTCCCGGTACTCCGGATTCATCTGCAATATTTTTTAAAGGATCACTGCAGAGATTGTCGTGAAACTGGCATTTATAAAGGATCCTTTGTGCGCTTCCCCCAGCCAACAAGAGTGATTAACATAAACTGAAATAACTTATTTCATAATTGTTGTAAAATTAAAAAAAAAATGTTTTAATATGATATTTTAATCCTGTCATCAGTCGCAAGAAAATGTATCAATTACATGGCATTTAAAGTTTTACAAATGCCAGTTTCACGACAATCTAAGCAGTGATCCTCTAATAACTGTTGCAGAATTACCATCAATATGCGACGAGGAGATATTTATGTATACAAAATCTAACGCGTGTATGATATTAACTAAAGGACAACGTTGAATGAAAATAAAAAACCAGAAACTTGGGTTTTTCAATGCAGTTTTTCCAAAATAAACTTGTTTTGTTTTAGAACTCCGGCTCTGGAACTTTACGGAACATCTGAGCAACCGAAAGACCATTGAAGGAAGCATCCTTAAAATCCCAGACGTTACGCTCACTGCAGAGTACAAAAGGAACGTAACCACTGGAGTTTCGAGGATGAGAAAGAATGAACATTTGAGTAATAAAAAAAAACAGTTAGTAAAAATGAAAATTTACCCGGCGGCGGAACTGGGCTGGGGGAAGGGGGCTACTCGCCGGTGTCAAGGTAGATTAGCTGGCTAAAGTATCCGTCTGAATTAGGAGGTCCCGGGTTCGAATCCCGGATCTGACCTACGCATTTTCCCTTTTCTGTTCCAAAGATATTACATTCTTAACATAATACTACATACTTCAAATGGTATTTGTCAGTTTTCACACTTTCTGTACTTACGTTTGTCTTCCAGCTCTGCAGAATTTTGCATATTTCCCAATACCAGTGTAATGGTCAGATTCGCTGTTTTCTCGTGCATATGTACGTGTACCATACACGTGGGGACGGTTGGGGTTGACCTAGTTAGAACTAACGTGAGCATGAAAAAAATCGATTTCACGGGCAGATGTAAGTGTAGAGGTGGTGACAGGTACTGGTGTCTGTCTATACCCCACTCAAACGTTGCAGTTCTAAGTAAAAACACGCAAACCACAACCTATCACAGTCCCCATGCTATTGTCAAAGCACTTTTTGTGTCTGATCTGCTTGGGGTTGCATTGTTTGTTGTCTAGAGGAATAAGAAGACGAGTTCTATATACGTGTAATAGATAGGGCGGATATAAGACGTGACGAAGAGAATTTGTCCTCTTCCAGACGATATCTGTCGATTTTCTTTGTAAAATAAACAAAAATAAAGGCTGCTGGTTGCTGTAGAGGCTCCCATACTTGCGTTTGTGTTTTCGATAATACCGTTGTTATCGGTTGAGAAGACCGAATGAGAACAAATTCATTTTATGCAGACAGTGTAAGCTTGATCGTCGTGAACCTCCTTTTACGGTTTGTTCTCCTCTCTTTCCTTCTTTGCTTCTAAAGTACATTCATGTTCTTTTCATTTCGTTAAAATTCTGTCATTCGATCTTACTCCTATATCCTGTAAATTCCTTTCCAAAACCATAGGTCTCTCCAGAGACATATAAAGCCAGTNGGGGGGGGGTTGGTTTCCTGAAGCCCAAAAAACCCCTCTGGATCCGCCATTGATATACGTCTCTGGTCTCTCGTTATTCGCCATCATACCTTGTCTGTAGATGGACCATTGTCCGGACAATCCATCACGTAATTTTTATCCGAGTTTTTTGAAACTTGACTGATGTAGTCACCACACTCTCAAGTTGTCCGACAGCACTTTTTTTTGTTTTTTTGTTCCGACATTATTTTATGGGAGTTATGCCCATTCTACTAATTTGTTAGCCAAATCTTGTCCAGACAATTCCTACGGTTTTTATTTGAATTTTATAAAACTCAACAGATACAATCACCGCGCAATCTTTAAGTGTTCACCGTCCATGCTGCCATTTTTTTTAATCTTGATATTTTTATGTAAGTTATGTCCCTTTTATAAAATGTTGAGCCAGATAATTTCCAGACAACTCCTCTTACAATTAAATCCAAATTTTATGAATCTCCACAGATCTAAATACCACATCCTCAAGTTCTGTACCCTTGCATTGTTTTTCTTCATATTTTGATGGGAGTTTTGCCCCTTTACTGAAAACTTTGCTAACTTCTGATTTACATAAATGTACATCTTGTTCAGAATAATTCTAATATCAAGTTTTAACATACTTTAAAGAAGAGCTACTTATTAGAAACGCAGGGAAAACTTCAAATTTAAACTGACTTTATTTTTGGCACTTAAGGATTCCTGTCCCACTGTTGTGTTTTTTTCCATGTGCAGTTATCTCCCCTTAACTTCCGTTTGGATATAGAACAGTAGAACAATTGGTCCAGGACACTTCTGTCGGCCAAGTAACTGAATCGCTTTAAGTGATAGTTCAGCAGTCTGAGTTTTATTTTTATTAACTCATTCACCCCTGAAATTTCATATTGAACTATTCCAACCTTTGAATTGGAAGAGTCCAAGTGTGTCTTCAGGGGTGAATGAGTTAAAGTCAGAACACTGTTTTTGATTGTATTTTGTTTATTTTATAGTCAGCAGTAACAACCCTGTCTTTGGCAGTGGTAAGGGGATCCTTAATGGGTTGAGCAGTGGGAATTAGCCTGTAGTTTACAATTCTAGTTTGTTCTATTCAATCATAGTCTATTAATTAGCCTTGTATGATAGGCACATCTCTGTTCATCAATTTGGTAAAATTTGTCTTCCTAATATACCTGAACAGGTGATATAAAGTTTTTTTTATATCACTATTCATATTTTGTTATTCAAGTTTAAAGAAATCATCAATAAATGGCATCACTGTGTTGATTCAGCTCGCATGATTTTGTTTGAGATTGTAGCTCACATTTTTACAATTAATATGTCCTGGCATTCAACATGTGTGATTTTATTTGAGACTGCCAACTTTCCTGAATGCATTTTATCAAAATTCTTCTTTTTATTTATTTTTTCATTCACAACACAAATATTACTGTAACTGTGAATAAGACTAATAACTAAATTGTCCATTTTTATGAGTTATCAATCATTTTGATATTTCTATGAAAAAGTATACTCATGGAAACTGACAAGCTCACTACAGAAATACAATAAAAAAGAAAAACATTTTTTATTTTATAGTATTCGTTTTTTTATTCAATTTTTAAATTTCTTTTTTTTTCATACAAATTTGTCATCATGCACGTGCACCCAGTGTCATCTACACCATACACAAAATACAGTACAAATATATATATATAGGACTGCAAAACATAATATACTCAAAACATAATCAAAATCAGAAAACAAGATGAGTCCAGCTCATTGTATTTTGACCTTTGACCAATACCCCAAAACACACAGCATGTTGAGGTCTTCAGTTGAAAGGTTTCGAGTGATTGGTCAATTACAACAATGCGTCATGCCCTAAAATCAAGTTACACGTTAAAATATTTTGATTTTTAGCACTAAAGCTAATTCAACTAAACAGTAATTAGGTTAAAAACCAATGCAAAAACCACAAAAATAATTTCAGAGGAAGCAAATATTGGTTCATATCTTATTCAGCAGGAAAGAATATTTGCCTATTTGCCATTCTACTAGTAATTCATTAACTGTATGCCCCATTTCTTAGTGTACTAGAGACTGTATTGTGTACAGAGGAACCTTGATAACAGAGTACAAGAACCTTATATAATGTGGCAGAAAAAACATACTGTATACAGGGGAACCATAGCGATAGTGTACAGTGGAACCTTATAGTGTACTGTACAGGGGAACCATAGTGATAGTGTACAGTGGAACCTTATAGTGTACAGTGGAACCTTATAGTGTACTGTACAGCCTGAAATTTCATATTGAACTACATGGGAACCTTATACTGTACTGTACAGGGAAACCTTATACTGTACTGTACAGGGGAACCTTATACTGTACTGTACAGGGAAACCTTATACTGTACTGGACAGGGGAACCTTACACTGTACTGTACATGGGAACCTTATACTGTACTGTACAGGGGAACCTTATACTGTACTGTACATGGGAACCTTATACTGTACTG